CCTCAAGCACAAAGCCTCCTTCATGACCTGTACCTTCATGCTAGTGGTGTGAGGGTGACTTTGACTGGGAAAGAGCTAAATTAAACCAGGGTCATGCTTTACTGCTATGTCTTTTGAATACTTTTCTTTTGGCTTTTGGCAGCAGAACTTACTTTTTTTTCCCCCTGTCCCTGCTTTTCCTGCAGTTTTGTACAACAACTTGTTCAGATATGCAACTATAGTACTGAGTCCAGCTTTGTATCCATGGTAGCAATTTCTGCCCTAGTTTTATCTGACTTTTTATTTAATTCTTCTGAAAGGGCATTCATCTCTTTGTGGAGGAAGCTAATGAGGCTCTAGTACCAGAGCCCTGGTTCCTATGTGCCAAAAACAGCATCTTGCAAAGCTGCAAGACACATGACCTTGGGGATAAGTTTCAATGAGTGAATTTTGCATAGCAAACATTTTTAAATATTCTTCTACAATATTAAAGTTTTTTAAGAATCAGAAATATAAGTGAATGAGTAAATTTTTATTAAAAGTGTTTTTTTTTTTCACTCTGAAGGAGAATGCTCATTTTCCTTCTCTCTACCCACACTTGTTGAGTTTTATTCAGTTTTTGTGAAATATAACTTAAGCAGCTTGCACTGGGTATAGTACCCCAATGATAAGTTGATAGCTCTGTTCAAGAAAAATTGTGTTATTTTATAAATTACGAAGGGATTTCATTGTCCATGACATACTTCAACTCTATTATAAATTTAAACTTCAACTTTAAAAAAGTATTTGAGAAAAGTGTAGTAAAAAATAGCAATTCATGTAAAGATACTCAATTTTTACCAAATATATATAAACAGAAATAGTAATAAAAAAAGATCAGAGATGAGTAATACCTTAGCCATTGTTCATCTCTTTTTTGCTAAACTAGTCAGCTCAGCTTTATATGTTTGTAGTAAAAGAAGAGATAATAATTAAAGTTCAACTCTACTTTATTTACTTATTTTTTAAAGTAAATTAGTAATGCCAAGCTAAGTAATGTATCATTTTTGCTTCTGGACCAGCAATTCCAGATACTGTTGTTGTTTTTTTAAGTTGTATTAAGCTTATAAACTAAAAGAGAATTTTGCCAATCACCAAAATTGTCCATCAGAAAAAAAATTACAAATAATTATATGCACTTAGATAAGCATATATGTCAGTTTTTCATAAAAAAAATATAAAACAGTATCTAAAGCATATATCACGTTGCCTTTGTTTTGTGGCTGGTATTTTATATTAGAATTTCTTACTATATTTATGAAAATTCCATGCACTGGCCTTATTCTAACTTTTAATTTTAATGCGTAATGATACAACATTAAATATATAAAAACTACTGAATATTTTGTAATATTAGTGTTCAAAATATTGAATATTTGACATTTTGAGAAGTTCAACATCATTGCCATAGCAATATAATTATACAGGCCCTTAATTGTCTTAAAATGTCTCTTGAAAGTTAAAAATATATATATAAAATATACATCTCTATTTAAAAAGCAATTTTCACTTAGAATGTGTGATACTATGCATAATAATGTTTGTTCTTTATTTAAGCAATAAAAACAACACTAAAGCCAATTCCTGTTTAGTTGACTAGTAACCGAGGGTAATATGAGATAAGAAAATGACACTAAATTAATTTCCTAGTAGAAAAAAAAAGCACTTAGATTTTAATAAGACTGGAACATTTTGTTTTATTTGGATAACATTTTATGAATTATAACCTCACTTTTTTTCTGATATCATGGAGGAAGCATGCCTTTTGTGCGTAATAATGAGATTTTTCTCAAATTTAATAGGTGGGTGATATCTTAGAATACATTTAAAGGGCACTTTTAAACTAATTATGCATTGACACATTAATGCTAACTAGCAACCAGAAAAATTAGGGATAAATAATAAAAGGAAAAAGAATACAATCTGATAAGGGGGGAAAAAAGGATAAAGAATTAGATTTCAAGGAAAGGTAATTGTCAGTCTGAATGAAAGCATGTTAGAAAACTCTGGACAAGACAGGTAAGTCAATGTAAGTCATAAAAACTGTAACTGTTACCTAAGATCATTTCTTGGAAAATGGATGTCACATAACAGAAATCATCCTGAATATTATGCCTCTAGTCACATTGTCATATGAAAAAATCCAATGTAACTTTGTAAACATACTTAACTTTAGGTTTTACCCATCAAATTAATATCTCTGTGAAAATTTTGTCTTTATTTTTTAATATTTATTTTCAAAAGTATTACATACATCCCCTTTTTCATCCCATTGACCCCTTAAAACCCACCTGTGCCCCTGCCCCAGGCCTTCACATTCCTATTGTTTGTGTCCATGGGTAATGCATATATGCATACAAGTTACCTCTTGAATTTCAATCATAGATAACTCACAAAGATTCACCTGCCCTTCTCTCAGGTTTATCCAAGTCTTCCCATAGAAGCACCAGGTAGCAACACTAACCCCCTTAACTTGGAGACTACAAGAGATCTTCAACATGAAGCAGAACCTACTCAGATATGCCAAGCCATCTTGTTTGTGTTAATTGCCTTCCATTTTTGTATCTCTCATTCTCTGCCTATCAATGTACTTCATCTGTGTGCAAATAAGTTTTTAAAAATTTTCTTAACACAATTAAATATTATTGGGTATTCTGATCATAACACTCTTCTTAAAAATAGCTGTTACCTTGCCATAACTGGTTTGGCTCAGTGGATAGAACGTCGGCCTGCGGACTGAAAGGTCCCAGGTTCGATTCTGGTCAAGGGCATGTACCTGGGTTGCGGGCACATCCCCAGTGGGAAATGTGCAGGAGGCAGCTGATCGATGTTTCTCTCTCATCGATGTTTCTAACTCTCTATCTCTCTCCCTTCCTCTCTGTAAAAAATCAATAAAATGTAAAAAAAAAATAGCTGTTACCTTAAAAATCACCATATTTTATTCCCTTTACTTTTCTGCACATGTTGAATATAGAACATAGAAAAAATGATTATAAAAATAATGCAATATTATTTAATCACACCTTAAGAGGTTCACACATACCAAGTTTTTCTATTGACTAGAAATTCCAATTTATACTCAATGTAGTTATATTCCTCTTCATTTTGTTAAAATAACCGATACCTCGAATTAACTTCCTAATCACTCCCTAATATTCTCTGTGCCTAATTAACCCTGAATATTCTCAATGCATACTTATACAATCTCTAGCAATCTAGCTAATATTAACTACTTCCATTAGACATCCTTAGGTAACAACATACTTTTCATCTGAAGTTGTATTTGCATTTTCACTGTTTATATCATCTTATTTCTGGAAATATTCTAAGCTGATATTTTTATGGCCTAATGAATTATTCTTTTTTCTTAGCCCTGCCTTTCCCATTCTTTCAAATCTCTGATAAAATCAAATCATACACAATTATAGATAAATCAGTAAAAAATCTGAGTAAAAGATATTAAGGGGGCTTGTTAAAAGAAATTCAAAATCAAAATTCGTACAGTGAGTTTATTGGAATGACCTAAGGAGTGGTTAACAAATCACAAGGCAATATATCAGAGAATTCATAGGAAATAATCTATCAGGAGAATGACACACAAACATTTTTGAAGCCCAGAGCAATATATCATCATTATGATGTACAATATAGGATTTTACTGATTTTTAAATGCTTCAACAATTCTATCTATAATTTGTTTTAACTAAAATAAGTGTTTCATCAAATTATGTATAATGATTAAAACATTTTTCTTAATAACTACTCTTTTTTAATTTATCATAATTTCTGTGTTCTCATCACTCTCATTTTGCTTTAAAAATTTTCATAATATTATTTATTTTTATTCTATAACTTATTTTTGGATGTTCTCTATATGTTTTCCAATCTGTCAGTATGTGCTTTATAAAGAACAAAAGAACCGTACCCCAGCTATGGTTTAATACTGCTTTATGATTTAAGTTTATGCCTCTGGTAGTATATCCAACTGTTGAATTTTTTATCACATTATGATAAAATTTGCCTTTTGTCCATAGTTCTTTTTTGGCAGTGATTCCAACATTGATTTAGAGCTGAATGTTTAGAGCTTCTTTTTGGCACTGGTAAGTGCATGCATCTTAAAGAACAATGTGCATAATTACATGTTTTAATTATATACGTATTGAATGCTGTTCAGCTAAATCTCCCCAACATAAGAAAGGAAGCTGTTTAAAGTTCCAATTTGAAATGTTTTCTTCTCTTTTTACTAACGCATGTGCTAAGGCTGACTTAAGTACCCTTTGGTCCCTTCTATTAATATCTCCAGATCTTATTGAATCTTGAATCTTCAAGCATGGTATTTGCTCTTTTTTCTCAATTTTGAATCATCTGCTTCTCAGCACACTATCCAGATTGTTAATAAATATGTTAAATAGCTATGGGCCTGAAACTAATCCTAGAGGGCTTACTAAATTCTATTTTTGTAAGCCCAATATAGTTCTATTAATAATAATACCTATACATTTTAATATGGCTTGGCTTTTGATATCTACCATAATATGTTTTACTGGAATAAATTTTTATAAAATATGTTTGGTACTAGGATATATATATATATCTATTTTGAAGTTATTACTAAGTTGAAAGAATATTATCCTTCATACACATACCAAATATAATTTTATCTAATACCATTTTAAGAAAGTATAATGAATAAGAACATTAAGCCAATACATAATTACTCAGGAGGAAACCTTTGAGCTATACACAGTCAATTACATAATTTTCTGAACCTTCCTTGGGATAACCCAGTAGGCAAGACAAGGGCTCTGAGCATTTGAGTTGATCATCTTGAGATTTCCTGTTTGGTAACCTGAACATGCTGAATTCATAAAGAAAGTGACTTCATTCTTTAAAACCCATAGAGATTTAATAAAAGCAGTACCAGAAAGGACACTTTAGTTTCCCTTGAAACTAAGCTTGCATGTAGCTGAAGATGTTGTCAGTCTTGGAGACCTTTATTGTCAGAAGCAATTCCATGCATTTAAGGATCTGGGGCTCACTGGAATTAAAGTCAACTGTAGTTGCAATGAACTGTCTACAAAAATCTTATCTGAACCTTTACATGAATTACTTCTACCTCTTTCTTACAGAGGTTGTTTCATGTGGATGTTTTTTAACATAAACACACATTTTTTTTCTAGCTAACCTTTTCTTGTAACTTTTCATGTGAAGTCAAATATATGGTTATTTCTTAATTATGTATTATTTTCTGGAAGAAACAGATAAATTAACAGTAAGAACAGAAAAACCAAGACATTTATGTTGGACTGTACAAGTAATTTCTTAGTTGTATTTGCAATTATATTTTTACTAAATGTTCAGGACTATACGTACCTAAAACCAAAATGTGTAGTCATAGCCAAAGATAAATTTAAGAGGAGCCACACTCAAGTAGAAGAAAGAAAAATAATCATCACATTTAAAACTCACATTTACTTTTAAAGAGAAGCATATTAAAGATATGTCCACAAATACGAGACCTTTCCACCCAAAAATGAAGAGATAACAGATAAACATAATCTACACTAACAAAAGAGAAACATGGTAATTAGCGTACGACCACTACCCTTTTCATTGGCTAATCAGTGAGTATATGCAAATTAACTGTCAGCCAAGATGGCGGCCAGCAGCCA